CTCGTGCAGCTTAATCAAATATTATGTCATTTTAAACGACCCATTGGTATAAACACGGTAACATCAATGTATTTTTAAAAATTAGACAGCGACGTTCTCTCAGAAGTTGTTCTGTAGACGTTTATCTGTTGATGACCTTTTGACCTCCTGAATTCTGCAATGAGATTTTCGGGTCGATTCAGCCGAGACGGCCCGAGTGGAGTTTCATGTAAATGTTTCGTACGGGAAAAAAAATCGCTACCGGGGGACGGTGAGGCTATGTATTAGTAAGACTAGGCCTAAGTAGACAATTATATGTGATAGAAAGTACACTTTCGAAAGAAATAAATCAAAATAAGAAAAAAAAATTAAATAAGAATAATTCAGTTGTTGACGTACCTTGTGTAAGTATTATACAATATACAATGCAAACAATGCGGCTCTTGTAACCCTAGTCAGATGTACAGAACAGTGGTGTTTATCCATGAAAAAGGTACCTCGGGAAAGTTTGCTTTGCCAGGAAAAGGTGAGACATAATCTTATGACGTATGCATGTTCATAAATTGTGAATGTGACGTCAATAAGAAATAAAATGTTCTTTTAACAAAAATATTAATAACTACAACGTTTTTTTTTATCTTTCGTGGGGAACACCCAACTTTATTCAAACAATTTTACATAATTTCTTTATCATCATCATCATTTACATATAAAATACCTTCCTCAATAAACCTATGCCTAATAAAATACAACAAAATAACCTTGATATTTAGTAACAATATTAAAAATAAAATACAAATTTCAACTTTTCACAAAAAAAAAGGAAGAAAGAACATTGAAAATCCCAGTATATAATATGAGGCAAGTCATTAATAACTACAACGTTTGTGGGCGTAAACTCAATAACACGAATTAAGGGTAGCACCATCTCCTTGCTATACAAATGAAATCCCTATTTAATCCCTCTATCATCCTCAAACGGTTAATTCCCCAATTGGTATGTATTCAGACTTAAAATTACAGTGCCAAGCGCCATTAAGTCCACCCCTGAGATTGTTATAATATTGCATAGGGGGATTGTCACTAATCACATGAAAAAATCTCTTCTGTACCCATCGTAGGCTGGTACTCTATGTTCATTATTGATGACTGACAAAGCGTGTAATATCTATCTTGGATCCCTTCGATACGGTTATTGTTGTAATTAGTTGTTTTGTAATCTTTATGGTTTTTTTTATAATTATCGTAAAACCTCGAATTAAAGACCTTTTTTTTTGCATTAAATCACGTAAACTAATGTAGAAACCAAGCCTTGGTTGAACATGGAACTCTTCATACCCGTGGTTTGATATCAGCTGTAGAGAGACTACAGGAAGAATGCAATAGAACTCTACATAGGCCTACCCGTTCTTTAATAGCAGCTGTAGAGAGGCTGCAAGAAGGATGCCATGGAACTCTTCATACTCGCGCTCGCCAGTTAGTTAGACACGACTCATACCGGCTTTACCTTCCTAGATTGGTTTAATAGCATCTGTAGAGAAGCTGCAAGAAAAATGCAATGGAACTCTTCATACCAGTGGTTTAATATAGCAGCTGTAGAGGCTACAAGAAGGATGTTATGGAAATCTTCATACCTGTGGTTTAATAGCAGCTGAGAGGTTGCAAGAAGGATGCCGGGATTTTTACGCGAGATTAAAAAAGTGTTACGGAATACGCTTTTCTTAGCTGTATTAACTCCGCGCCTCAGAATAGTGGCTTAAGTATGGTCAGTGCAGCCAGTACAATGCACTGCGGCCCGGGGCTTTTTGGGGCCCGTTCGTTAGGCATATAGACCTATAAAATTAACTTTAAAAAAATCCTAAATTTTGCCCCAAGTAACATTAGCTTTTAGAGGCCATAATTATAGATTATATTCATTACAATTTAGGTTTACGTGCCATCAAACATTGCAAGCTTGATGCTTTGTATCTGTTAAATACAATCAAGGTTATTTTCTTCCATTCTGGTATTTACGTATGCTTTCTACCTCGGGACGATGCACTAAAATAGAAATGGTTTGATTTTAGAATTACTCGATGACAAGGTTATATGAACATCATAATTTTACTAAAATATTGCCATTTTCACTTTTACTGATTTGTACCGTGTTTTAATGTGCCTCGCACTTTTGGTACAATAATGCAGCTATACATCGTCCTGCCTCGAATGAATTGCAGTTGGTAGATGGCTTGCGGTAATCGCATGCCTCGCTGACTCGCAATTTGTCAATACTGTGCACGTGAGCTAGTGAATGGCCTGAAATAATAAACAAACAATTACATGAATTTTATTTCCTGGATTCCACATGAATAAACAGTAGGATGACTTTTCTGAATGACTGTAAACATTTATTTTGTATTTCCACCACCGTAAAAGATGGATGTCAGACATGTTGTTGTAGCTGTATCAGCGGTACTAATAGTCGGTTCTCTGTGTGGAGGTTATTTCGTAGGTAGAAAAATACATTCGTCTCCTCCAGTCGATTGCGAATGGCAAAATTGGAATCAATGGAGTGCATGTTCTCACGACTGTGGAACAAATGGAACAAAACATAGAAATCGATCGCATTTACTACAAGCTAAAGATGGGGGTATTGAGTGTGATGGAAATAATCTCGAAGAACGTAGTTGCAATTTAAATTGTTTCAATGGTACCTCATTGAATAATTACTGTAACTGTTTAAATGGATTCACTGGTAAGTGCTGTAATTGTAAAATACAAGACTGCAGAATGACCGAGTGGAATGATTGGTCAACGTGCTCACACGTATGTGGTCCTCATGGAACACAATTCCGAATTCGAACGATAGTACAGGCTCCTGAATGTGGAGGTAGTGAATGTACATCGTCACTGACAGAAGAACAATCATGTGGTCGAAAGTGCTTCAACGGTGGTTCAATCGTAAATAATAGCTGCAAGTGTCCATCTGGATATAGCGGGCAATGCTGTGAGTGTATTATAAAACATTGTGAACTGAGCGAATGGAGTGAATGGTCACTGTGTTCGCAAACGTGTGGACCTTCCGGAACACGGTTTAGAATTCGAGATATCCTACAGTCACCAGAGTGTGGTGGATTGGCATGTTCATCTATCCTTTCAGAGCAACAGCCATGTAATCGAACGTGCTACAACGGTGGCAGTTTGATTGTTTCAGAGAAAAGCTGCAGATGTTCAGATGGCTTCACTGGTCAGTGTTGTGAGATTAGGACACAGGACTGTGCATTGATTCCATGGGGCCAGTGGTCATCTTGTTCCAATACGTGTGGTCCACTAGGAAAACGATTTAGAATACGTGAAATGTTAGATAGGCCGTCTGAATGCGGACAGACAATTCTCCCTTCCTTATTGTCAGAAGACCAGCCGTGTAATCAATTTTGTCGGAATGGAGGAACAATTAGCGAAAGTCGTTACGATTGTCCAATCGGATACAATGACACTTGTTGTGAATGCAAAATACAAGACTGTGTCTTGAATGCATGGAGCGAATGGTCAACGTGTTCGGAAAGGTGTGGTGCTCTTGGAACGAGATTCAGAACACGCAATGTAGATAAGTTTCAAGAATGTGGAGGAGCCAAGTGTTCGTTTCCACTAACAGCACAACAACCGTGTAATAGAATTTGCAGCAACGGGGGCCGCTTAGTTGATCATGAAAACAATTGCAGTTGTCCAGATGAGTTCAGAGGTCAGTGTTGTGATATTAAGGTACAAGACTGTGCGATGAGTTCATGGAACCAGTGGTCATCTTGCTCACATAGTTGTAGCCCGCTAGGGAAACAATTTAGAACACGTGACATCGACAGGTCGTCGGCTTGTGGTGGGCAGACTATGTTTCCGTCTTTTTTGTCAGAGGAGCAGTCGTGTAATACATTTTGTTTGAATAGTGGGAAACTTATCGAAAATCGTTGCGATTGTCAAATTGGATACAGTGGTACTTGTTGCGAATGCAAGATACAAGATTGTGTCATGGATGCTTGGAGCGAATGGTCAGCGTGTTCTAAAAAATGCGGACCTCTCGGAAAACAGTTCAGAACACGTAATGTTATTGAGGAACACGCCTGTGGTGGAGTCGTCTGCCCCAATAAGCTTACTGATCAAACACCCTGCAACCAGTTCTGCAACAACAGCGGAACCATGAAATTACAAGAGGACACATGCAGCTGCCAAGAAGGGTTTAGTGGTGATTGCAGTCATAGTGAATGGAGTGATTGGTCGTCATGTAAAAATGCAACGCTCCAAGTTAGATCACGTGACGTCAATATGTACCCAAAATGTTCTGGAAAACAATGTAGTGGGTCGTTAACCGATGAGCGTTTGTGTGCAGACACACTTAAGTCCAAACTTCTGGTTCCAAAATGGGGAGTTGGATCATTTGGTTTTTATGCTGTGCTCGTTACCTGTGTGTTGGTGATATGTCTGTATTTTTTATGCAGGTAAATAAGGAGCAATCTACATGTTGCTTTTTTTTCTTTTCTTGTCTTTTAAATGCTTTTACATTTATACAACGATTAGATTGAAATGACAGTGTGAGAAATATCAATAATCTGGTGATATTTTGTCTGTATGCATGCAGGTACATCTACATGTTGCTGTTTTTTTTTTTGTTTTTTTTTTTTTTTATGCTTTAACATTCATACAGCGATTGGAATTGAAATGACAGTGTGAGAAATATCAATATT